TAACATCGATCAATGTCAGAGGCAAGTGTATGTGTGTGTGTGTGCACATATTCGCTTCATTTGCTGATTACGTAAGCTGATATACACATATATATTAGGGTATTTAGAATTATATGTTTAAATAAAGTCGAGAAGAATTAGAGTTCGATTTTTAGAATCAAGTTTTTGGGTAAAATTTCAAAATTATTTCTTTTTATCAGAACTGTAATTTTAATTCGAATGTGAGCACAAGCAGGAAGAAACCTAATAAAATGTTGAAAACGCTCAATTCTGCGGAAAATCACCAAGGTCCGTTGTACCCAGGGTTGCAAATAATGCTTAAAAAAATAATTGAATTAACGTTTGAATAAAAACTTTTTTCGATTATACCGCATAAAAAAAAAATAATCCCGCATACCGGATTAAAAAATAAAAATTTTATATTTAATTCAAAATTATTTAATTAAAAAATTCGCAACCCTGGTTGTGACCCACTTAAAGCTTGGTCAAATGCAAAGAAAGTTTCAAAACTACAGACGAAAGCCGCCGTAAACGATACAAAATTATCCAATATATGTATTTGCAACTTTTACAGAACAGCGACGAAATGTACTTCAGTATACGACTGTGTTAAGTGTGACGCGCAAAGGAGAAATAACATCGACCAATAAGAAAGCGCAGTCGCTAAATTTTCGACCTTTTACAGCATTTAGAACGATAGGCGAGTGATATAATCAAGAAAGCATTAGAAAGAGTCATGAAATCTCAAATATATATCCAAAGTAGATATTCTTTAAACCATCTCGTAAATCATATATTTTAAAGAGTCTCCAGAGAGTTAATCCTAGTTTGGTAACAGCACAATTTCTAATACAAGGGCTGTCCGAATAATATTTATTAGGCAAATAAACTTAAATGTAAAAAAATAACAGTTCATTTCTCAATATAGAGATCTTTTAGTTGCATACACTGGACACAACGATGCTTCAACTTCTTCAACCCGTGTGAAGAATACATTTTCTGGATATGCGACCTCGTACAATTCAATTTTTGACCGAAGCAATCGAAGCAGAGAGATACAGGCATATGAGGTCTTTGACAGCGCGTTTTGCGTTCCAAAGACAAGACTCAAATCACAGAACGATATTATTATTTTTCCATGTGATTCGATGGTAAATGCCTCTTGTGATAGTCGGGCCATCTGACGGTGAGGTAAAACCATCGTCTTGAAGTGTCACAATGTCTGCTGATATCAGTGTGATCAGTTTAATATTATATTTCAGAACTCAATTTAAGAAGAGTGTGAAGTTAATACTATCCAACCAAAGTTGCAGTATATGATCTAATATTTACAAAACTACTAAAGAGCTATCAGAGTATATATTAAATTAATGCACAATTGAAGAACTTTTAAAACAAATTTTTCATTCATCCCGAATCTTAACAGCAGCCACCACCATGTGAAGAAATCATATATTTTCCGCTCGTTTTGGCGGCAGTTTCGCCAAAAATTAAATTATAACTTCATATTTATATTTTCTTTGCATTTATGCAACAAATATATTTAGTTATTTATTTCACTGTTGCTCATAACTCTGGGTCGCTTTGCGCTGCCATGCTTAGCATAGTTAAATCTATAAACGGATATCGTAAAATACTTGCAACTTGTAAATTTACAAAGCCATCCAGAATATATTCGAACAATGTGCAGGACCTTCAACTAGCTCAGTTGTTACTAGAAGGGATGTATGTGGCATATGCAGCCAGCTTGTACGAGTATGCGCGAAGAGCGCGCCGCCGCCAACAGTAGTCGAACGTTGCCACCAGCTACTGAGCTTCTGCGGCATACTGCAAATACTCGCACCACAGCAAACTCGAACTGTTCGAACTATTTTTCCATGCTCAGCAGCAGTGGCAATAGTTGGACAATTGCAGCAGGCTTTTCGTAGCACTACCAACGGCTGACTGTGGCACACGCATATATACGAGTACATGTGATTGTATGTAAGTAAAGCAACACTAGGCAACTGGAAGTACAATGGCAACAACAACAGCAGGTGCAGCAAAATAAGCAAGACAGCCGAAACAGCATCGCATAGGGTTACAAAAGAGCCAAAGAAATCTTGCAATCAAAAGAATTTCAATAACTTTAGTTGGGCGAGGAGCACGCCATGGCGACATACCCGCACTGCGGCAACGCCAATATCACAGCAGCGAGTGCCATCCGCTGCACATATTCTTATATTTCTTATATGCATGCTTTTTTGTAGTGCTTGCAACGCTTGCCGCAGCTGTGCAACAACACCGTAAAGGTAAAAATCTCAGCATTGCTGCCATGAACTCATAGCAAGCACCGTGTGCTGCTACGTGGCAGGGTGTATTATTATTGTCGTTGTCATTCTTATTGTTGTTGTTGTTGTGCTTGCTGTTCTTATCGTTGAAAAAATTGTCACTTAATTGCAAAGCGAACGTGATCAAAGTATTTGCCAACATTGCAACATGAGCAATTGCCAATTGAACTTTTACTTTTACATGCAACAAATATTGGCCGCAGCGGCATCGGCATCGGCATCGGCGTCGGCGATTCGTTTGCTTCCCGCCAATGCACCTAAAGCTGAAGTTAAATTGGTAGCTAGTTACTCTGTTTCTTTTTATGCCGTTTGCTTTGTTGTTGTTATTATTTTTTTCTTAAAGTTTCATTTTCCTCCCTTTTGTTTGTTTTTGTTGCTGGCTGCTGTGTAAGGCAGCGCTATTGTGGTTTTAATCAATTGGAATTTATGACTCGAACACCGAACTATGGAGGGGAACGAAAATGGTATTGTACTATAAAAATACATTACAGGGCCGTATGTTGGTGTGTGCGTGCACTCAGATTTGACTTCGGTTGCATCTACATATTTTATGTTTAATATTGTATATTTTACCAACCGTGAATATTGACTTTTGGGAATTAGTTTAATTCGTAAATGTGCTTCTCGTTTTATTGCTTTTAATGATAAATAAATATTTTTTGATGTTGCTCGAGTGGATCGGAGAATTTTGAGGCACAAACAAACACACTTCTTTTCACACGCATATGAGCAAATAATAAGCTGCTTGATTACTTTAATCCCAATGGGCTATTTAGGATATCCAACGGCAATCACATACAGAATTATGATATGTAATAGCTGCTTGTGCTCCATTGAGCTAGTTTGTATTATTTCAAAACCACAAGTAGTTAGAATTTGGTATACATTATCTAAATTGTCGACAAAAATTGTAAAAAAGGACAAGATTTTCAACTGTTGTAAAGATATGCATGCCGCTCCCTTGTGATAGTCTTAACTTTGGGAATGGCTCAACCTATTTTACAAAGGAAAAGCACTCAAGCAGTATTTGTTTTGGTAATTTGCATCTTTTAGAGACATAAGCTTTTCATATCCCGTTATAAAGCAATCTTTACTATTACACTTTACCTCAAATTTCCATTATAGTCGTTTCTTAGAGTTATTTATTTCAAGGTCCGTTTAAAAGTCGAAAATTTGATACCAAAATTAATAAGAGTGCGGCCATTATCATGTATCAATCACGGATTTAATCGTGTTTCTTCGCTACCCCACTACAGTTGCGTATTGATCGTTGTTATTATGATGTTGTACACCCAGTATTTTCTTCCAGGAGGTGTGAAGTTTAGAAACAAGCTCATGATTTAGAGGGTCCTACTCAATTTAACCGACTCATGAAAATCTACAAGACTAGCCGCTTTCGTTTAAATATATAAGATAATAATTTTTCAAAAGTTTATGAAAGTAAGTTCTCAAAGTAACCACCGAAGTTGATACTCCATAAATTTTGCTTCTAAGCCTCAAACGAAGAAACCAGAGTGAGTTTATTTGAATGACATTAGAAAGCCTATCCCATGCATGTTAATCATATGCAGTGTTAATGTTTTGAACTCAAAATAAAAGAAATTGACAAATTTTAACGGAAAACTGTATATTTAATACATAAATAAGCGCTAAATAATACAATAATAGCTTAATACTAACAGGGTTTGGTACAAAAGTTTATATATCTACAATAAATATTGATCAGTTGCACCGGATTAAGCCACATATGAAAAGAAAAACTCATCAATATGTATGAAGATGCAAACATACAGACATAGATAAGTATGCGATCAAGCCTTGGCACCCACAATGAACCAATAAAAGTGGAAAAGTCATAAAAAGGCAAAGAAATGCGCGCTGTGCCACTCGTTGGAGAGAGGAAAGTATTTATTACCTGTTATTTGTTTGTATAAACATATTTACATAGGCAGGCATACAAAGCGTGCTACATACATACACACACACATGCATGGAGATGTTAGTTGCTTTAAACAAATACATAACAGTCTTATTAAATGATAGGTGAGTGTGAGTATAATTATATATGAGTATGTTTGTGTGTGCGCTCGTGTTTGTGTGTGTGTGCATGTGTGTGTTTAGGCAGTTCCTGTTTAATAACATGTTTCATATTTGCGCCATTCCCTCGCACAACAACTCAATTTGTATGCGCACGAGATGCAAACGAAATTTCCAACTGGAGTGCATTAAAAATTAAAGAGTGCCGAGCGCAAAAACACTCACTTATGCTATGAGTGAAAGAGCGAAAATTGTTAACATTGAGTGTTTCGCATATTCCACATATTTCAATGTGCGCGTTCACATATTGAAGATTAGTGTGAGTGCATTGAGTGCGTTTTCTATCAACTCTCAACATCAAACAAAAAAACTCACTCTTTCAACAGAACCCAACAGCTACAAGATACTCCGGGTTTTGTTTGTATCTCACAGTTGCATCTGAAATGAAATTGCCTCTGAAACACGCTACCGCCTATACCACCACCACCACCACCACCATCAACAACAACAACACGCGCGCTGTGGAAAACAAGGTAGCGCCATCAACGGCCGACCTGTGTGTGCCTGTGTTTGGCTATATTGAGTGAAATGCGCTTGTGGCCAAGCGGCTGGGCATTGCGGGCACAGTACATAGCTCACACAGCTCACTGCTCGGCTCAATGTGATAAGTGTCGCGCAGCGCCGGAAAATATTAGCTTCGTCGGACCTGTTTCCATTGAGTGCGATTCAGTGCTTGAGACCGGTTCAAATCGATTGAAGCAAAATTGCGGCGCTACGTTGGCGTGCGGATGCAAAGTACACGGAATCGTCAACTTAACGAACGAACGAACGGTACGACCGTGTGTCTGAAAATTTAACTTAAATTAAATACATACATATACTCGTACGAACGCTAAATTGCAAATGCAAAGAAATTGTTTAAAGTAAAAAAACAGCGCTTGCGAATCGAAAATGCAAACAAAGTGTTATGCAGTGTAAGGCCAAACCAGTGCAAGTGCGTGTGCCAAAGTGAAAAAAATAAATAAATAAATAAATATTGGAAAATATAGAATTTTACAAATTTGCATAAAACCGTTGATGTGCATAAGTAGCAAAAGTACAAAATTTTTAAAAATTAAATCATTAAAGAAAAAGTGTAAAAAATCGAAATTTAAATAAATTGATTGTAAAAAGACAAGTTTGTGTGGGAAACTCTATTGTATTTTAACGCAGACTGTAATTAAAGCAGCATAATTTAATTGCTGCTCATTGGAAATCATTTTAGTCCTAAGCAAATGGTAATAATAAAATGCTTTCGAAAAATTTCACATAAAAATTTCTGCTCTGCGACCCCAAAAACAGCCAAAAAATATTATGTTGCAACATTAAAGCGCTTTGTGGTGCATACTTATCAGCTGAAAAAGCTACTGTAAATAATTACACGCAGTTTTTTTTTTTTAATTTTTTCACTAAAGCGCTGGCCTTTGAGCCCAACTTAATGAATTGCCCAAACGGAAGACAAATTTTATGACATAGTTTTTTTTTTTTTTTGTTTGTGTTTTTAGAAAACCATGCCGTTATTGATAACATTATTATTTATGATAATGTGTTGCATACAACCTTATTAGCTTAAATGCGTGCTACTCCCCGCACGAACACTGGCTTATGTGTTTGTTTGTGCACTACAATTCGAGTGCTCGCAGCGGCAGCTGCTTTTCAAGTGTTGCTATTTCATGACATAATTGCTTTCAAAGGCTTGCTATTGCCTGCCTAATGGCAATATTGTATTATTTAATTGTCGAAGCGCATATGATACATCTGGCGCTTGAAGTGGCGTTGCGGCGCACGCCAGCATGCACATTTACGCTTATTGAGCTCAAGTTGATAGCTGAGTTGAAAGCCTACTTAGTTTAATCGATTGAGGGCTGTCAATGCGTTCGAAGTCAATTAGGCTGCCATACTTTTGAAGCAGCAAAAATGATGTTCAGCAAAAAAAAACAAAAACACTATTTGAATGTAAAGAGCGCTTTAAAGTAATTAATATTTTAATAGCGTAAAAATTATATTTAATTGTGAATTGTTTTATTTCTTTTTTTAATTTTTTTTATAGAAAAATGAGCTTTGCTGCTCGTCATTTCCGCCTTATGCACGCCGTTTGTTGTCAGCGACACCTACACACATACGCTCCTTACAGCCCTATATTATTAGTAGTTGAAAAAAAATAAATACAAAAACAACAAAAAACAGCAAAGACATTGCTGACTTGATATTGTGCTTGCAGCAACGATTTGCTTTATGTTGTTGCTGCTGTTGTTGTTCTTTTGCCTGTGTCAAGTGCACAATAGGAGCACATATGGTCACAGAAGCAGCAGCAACAACGCGAACGGCATTTGTTGAGTTTTTTATTAGCTTTTGTTGTTGTTGTTGTTGTCGTTGTCGTCATTGTCGCGGATGTTGCCGCGTCGGACGCGGTCATCAACTGCAAACAATTCGCGATTTGCTTCGTTGATTCAAAGTACGCCTCAGCGGCAACAGCGAGTAAAGAAGAAAAAGTAGCAACAAGCAACAACAACAACAACCGCAACAGCAGTAGAAGCTTGCAAGAAATAGCGAAAACAACAGCAACTGCATTTTTCTGCAACTTGTTCGGCTGCTTGCAACTTCGCTATTTGTACTTGTAGATGTGTATAAATGCATATATATGTATGTATTTATATAAGCATGTGTGTGTGTGTGTGCGCTAGCATGCATGTCCGCTTTTACGGTCTCTCATATGCACGCTCGTACTTGTGTGCTTACGCCCCGCTAATTTTCCAGCACAATAAAAACAAAAGCGCAAACTTGCTGCAAGCTGCACGGCAATCAACTGCTCACACACACACACACACATACAAACATACTTTTAGTATGTCTGCTAGCTGCCGCAACCGGCTTTTGCAAAGCAGTAAAGCAAAGCGTAATGGCAATTTCAGTAGAAATAAACAGCAACAGTAACAACAATAACAACTGTGCCTAGAAAATCTAAACCTGCAGCAAGTGTAGTAAAAGCAACAACAACCACTACAAAATGTGTATTAATATTTAAGGCGAAGCAGAAAGAAAGCATTTTTACGCAAAAATAAATAAACTCCGCTTTACTGCAAATTGCAACATTTCCTCTTAAGGCAGTCTCAATAAAATTGGAGCAACAACAAAAAGTCATAAATAAATAAATTTGCTTATTTGTCTGTGTGTATACTAAAACCACTTCCTTTTTTTGCAGCTTTGCCCAACCACAAGCAACCAAATCGTACGTGCAACATATGCTTTACTACACACATAAACCCATTTCTATTTATATGTATGTATGTATGTATGCGCAACAACTAACACTCACGTATTAGCGAATTTGCATAGCAAATAAAATTATTTTGTCGCTGCAACATTTCGCGCCGCTGCCGCACCGTAAACAAGCAAACAACATTCGCGTATGTTGCATGTAAACATTTGTGCGCCCATTTGTGATTTGTGTGAGTGTGTGTTGCCAAAGTAACTGAAAGTGTCATCTTCAGCATTTTTTGCGTGCGCCTACTTGCCGCGTGTGTTTGTGTGCGTGTATGTGTGTTAGAGCACTACAATTTGTGTAGAAAAGAAATTTATTTGCTTTTACCTGCCTCTTAAACGTGCAACATACATACATACATACTTGCTATTTGCCTAACAAATCACAATTGAATTGGATTATTTACGTGCCACCTCTTACTAATTGGATTTGAAGCATTTTAAATGCTATTGCTGCGTAAAGTGAAGTGATTGCTGATATTGTTGCTGTGTTACCAAGTGTTGCAGGTGAGTTTTTTGCGCTGAGTGCACAGTAAATTGATTTTAAGTATTGAGTGGTATGGGTGGGTTCAGCGCAGGTTTAGACTAGATCGTATATCAAGCGAAAAAAGTGTGCCACGTTAGATATATGACTGTTTATATAAGTATATATGACATAATATAAGTGTATGCATAATTTTTATAAATGTTTCGGCAACAAAAAAAATTCCATTTAAAGTATTTACAATTAAACAAAAAATAAACGTTAACTTCTTTTGTATGAAAACTAAAAGACCCTTCACAAAAACAAATACAAAATATACCACACACGAACTCGAACTTGTATGGCAGCTATATGCTACAGTGACCTGATCTAAACAATTTCCTCGGAGATTAAACCGTTACCTCAGACAATAATAAGAGCAGAATTTCCTGCAGATATATTGTCAAATGAAAAAGTTTTCCACACATATATAGTTGCATGGCAGCTATATGCTATAGTGGTCCAATAACGGCGGTTCCAACAAATGAGCAGCTTCTTGGAAAGAAAAGGACGTGTACAAATTTGCAGAACGATATCCCAAAGACTGAGGGACAAGTTCGCATATACACAGACAGACGGATATTGCTTAATCGACTCAGCTCGTCACGCTGATCATTTGTATATACATTTTATTGGGTTATCACTGCACTCTATACTACTCATCCGTATTCACACACATACCGCTATGTATAAAAATAAATATATATGTATTTGTGCCGACAAAGCACAATACTTTAATTTAAATGTCAGAAATTATAAAGAGTGCACATTCTATATTACAAATCCTCGTTGCAACAATAAATATTAATTGCTCGTGCACACCTTTATTGGAGCGTTTGTATGCGCACACAAGAGCATCAATTCTCCTTCGTGACAACTCAATTGTATCCTTAGCCGAATTTAGCGGTCATGTCCTTTTCGGCGTCGTCAGCTAAGGGTATAACGAAATGAATTTCTGTTGAAATGCGTTCTTTTCTTTGATAATGATGACTTTAGGTTTCCATTAAAGGTAAGAAAAGACGAAAAAGTAAGAACAACACATACACTTTCTTATGATTGCAGTAGAGAGAGGGGAGGGTTTCGTTTTTTTTCTTTTTGCTTTTGAAACAAACTAAAAATAGAAAAGGTCTATCAATAACTAACCCATTTATAAAGACGAAAGTAAGACATATGGAATTGTGCAGGAATGTTGTCAGAAGGGAAAAACGGCAGATGGTTTTTTGTGCATCAAAACCACTAAAAAGTCATAATTGTCTGCCAAGCGAGTAGCGCTATTGAACGAATTCACCAATTTCTCGCGGTATAGCACACTGCTTTAGAGAACTCTACTTTGAGTGAACTTTATGTAATTTTCATATAAATTTTTGTAGCCAAATGTCTGCATTCAAAATTGAAAGTAATTTGTTAAATTTTTTTACTTTTTTTAACCACATATTGTCTCGTCTCTACAAGTTAATCAGATATTTCTGATGTAGTGCTGAAGGTAATTGTGAACAAAGTGCATGCCACAGCGACAGCTGTTTTCAATATGTCTACATCCAATTAATTAAGTTTATCTGTTTCAAAGTATGTCAAGCAACTCCTCTAAAATATATTACATTCAAGCATTACAATTTTGAAATGCGCCTAATTGCTTTTTGTTCGTATATAATTTGAGGTTATAGCGTTAGAAAGCGAAGATGACGGCATCAAAATCGTGACTTCCTTTAAACGAACTTTTCTTAACGAATTTGTATGCTTTTTTTCGCTAGCTTCTTAGGCATACTTTGCACCAACTTATTGAAATACGCCTAATTTTATGCTACCTTATATTCTATAAACTCATTTTTACAATAAAGCTGAGATGTTGCCCACATTTAGGGTGCCGTGATATAAAATTGTTAAGCCGTGTTGTTGTACCTATAAGATGTTAAAATGACAGCGCAAAAAGATGGCAGGTCGAAATCGTGATTTCCTTTTAACAATTTAAAGCCGTATGACTTTGTAGTACATTTTTAGAACGGAAAACATTTGCTTGTGCTTGTTGCCCAACAACAGCGCACAGGAGACATTCACGTAGCACGCATTTTGTGCGGAAAATAATTTCATTGGCACGTTTTTCAGCAATCTTTCACTTACACATGTTGCAAGCATAATGTTTAAAATTTCGGTCTGCCAAAAAGCACTCAATCTTGAACATGTGATAAGGCCTCAAGCGCCTACTCGATTGCTTACCCCGCAGTGGCAAAAAGAAATGCGAATTTCGTTTCGAACCCTCGAAGAAAAATCACCGCATGTGTTGCTTAACTAATTTAGTGACATACTCTTTTTCATAACAGCACGTTTCTATGTTTTCAAAAAAAAAAAAATAAGAAAGAAAAAAATTGCACAAATTTTCAGAACCAGAAAAAAGTGTTTCCTTTATTTGTTTTGATTATTTAACATTTGATTTATGACAGTTTAACATTTGCTTTGTACATTTCCCACATCACACACAAAAAAAAGTGCAACCATTTTGCATTACTAAGGGTAACATAAGGCAATTATTGGCATATGGTCGGATTAAGCTATGCGGTTGCCGTTGGTGGGGTGGCTGTCGCCGTGAGATAAACACACTTCGGCTTACGATTTATATGCGCTTCCATTGTAATAGCAAAAATAACAATGAATAAATAGCGGATGCTAACGAGCGGTGGTTGAAAACTACCCAGGTCCGGTAAGAAAATTACGCACTTTTCTAATTTCCACTGTCACAAGTCCACAATTCTATACAGGATAGTTGTTAATGAAATGGGTCGGCTGCGAAGTGCTAAAATCCATGTAGTACGCGCGAAGGCGGGGTCGTTGAGTAGCATATGATGAGATGATTACAATGCGTTGGCCTCTGCGAGTGCTTGCAACAAAAAATGAAGAAGTGTGATGCTGTTACGTCACAGCGATATTTGCTATGCATAAATAAGTACTATATATGTATGTATATACTTTCTTAGTTGAGCTTTCCTATGCTTAGTTCATCACACTGGCTGGCTTGTTTCAATCTTATGCGTATGCTTTCAACAGCAGAAACTCACATTTGTCTTTGGTGTTACTATACTTACAACATGCCATGAGAAAACAGTCAGCTGCTAAAGGGAAGCAGCGTGAAAATGAAAGTTACATGCCTGAACTATTTCAAGCTTCTGTGGCTGGGTCGCTGTAGATTGGAATGATGCGTGTAAATTGGAGAGTCAGTAAAATTAAATTTGAAGAAGAATTTGAGACAAATAAAGTGAATGCTTATAGATACTATCATTATATACTTATAACGCATGAGAAAACAATGTAATATCATTTGTGCATATATGTTCGATTTCCAAGAAGCTCAGAGCTGCAAAATAAGCAGTAAAAATAGTTATTTGTTTTTTTTCGTTTAAATTTTTTTTTTTAATTTTTTTTATTTACTAACATTTTTATGTCACAAACCTACCGTAATTTTTTTAAATTAAAATAATTATTTTTTCACCTTATTTAGACTTAATATCGGAAAAGTATACTATTTTCAATCGAAAGTTCCCACGTCAAAATATTGCTTTTTTCAACAAGTATTGAAATAAACCCTTTTGTTTGAAATTCAGCGATTGTTTTTTCATTTTAATTTCAATCCTTTCTACTACAGTAAAGTTAAAAGTAAAATATAAATATTATGTCATATAAAAAAAAAGACATAAAGAGACAATTTTAGAATTATTTGATTTTAGAAAAAATTTTAAAATATTATATTTTAGAATAAATATTTCAAATGCTACAATATAAACATATTTTTTTTTAACCAAACATTATTATTTTAATTTAAAAAAATTAGCTCAAAATTTTTCCAATTATATTCAAATAAAGGTTGAAAACAATTATTTTCTTAATAAAAAAAAATATTACATGAACAACTTACATACAAATGCAACTCACAATTTTTTTAATATTTTTGTCAATTTTCCTTACTTATGCTTCAATTCTGTTAAAATATATATATATCTTAAAAGCAAAAAAAAAATTCTCTCAACAACTTCTCGATATTGACTTTGTTCATAATCATTTTAGTCCAGTTTCTAAGACGGTATGGATGACCTGAGATTGTGTGAAAGTACTGTATTCACATATTTACGAAGTATTTGATTACTTTGGAAGCTTACATATATTTTAAGAAGCAAACTTTCAAAGCTCTAAAGCGACACTACTGGTATTATCTCCTTAACCATGAAAAATGATACGAAATATGATTGGACTCACAAAACTATCGGACACGCTCTATTTGCATAATGTCTAGCGCTCACATACATACATACAAACATAAAGACAAATAGATTGCATTGTTTTTAATTTTTGATCAGCGTAAAGCGTAAAGTCCATAAGTAAATAGTAAACACAAGAAGACAGCAAATAAAGAGCCAGACCGAAAATGGGCTAAACAAATACATAGATCACAGTGTTTAATCGCAATCAATTCCGTGCATTACCAAAAGCGAAACAAAGGGATTTTTCAACGATGCATGACATGAAAAATGACGCACTCTCAAAGTGTAAAAGTAAAAATCACTGGCAATCACCAGTAAGCACCCAGTCAGCCAGCCAACCAATCAACCAGTCAGTCAATAAACAATGCAGGGAAATTCTTCAAAAAGTCAAATGAACGATGAATGTGTGAACACACAAGCGCTGCTGGCACGGCGAAGGGGGATGAGGTGAGCCAAGGATATGAAAGATTGTAGGAGTGGATGGCAAACAAATTTACTTGCGCACTCGTAAGTAAAAAAAGCAAAAAAACAAAAAAAAGTGATATGAAAAGCGGTAAAATAGATTGCGCTGCGCCTTCTGGGAGTTGCAAGTAGCTGGAGTAGTTGAGGCAGCGCACAGGCGGCAGTGGTAACGAAATTCAAATTTTTCTCATTCACCTTAATCAAGTGTAAAAAATTTCGATTGCTTGATTTCTCAAGCTTAACAATGCACGGGCGCGCGCGCGCTGGAGTGTGCG